CTCACATTTCCCTTCATTTTCCCCTCACATTTCCCTCTATTTTCCCCTCACATTTCCTGCCCCTTCCCCCTCAAATTTCCCTCCCTTTTCCCCTCATATTTCCCCTCACATTTCCCTCTATTTCCCCTCACAGACACACAACTGCTCATTAAGAAGCAGAAACATATTTTTAATGACAGCACAACCCCCCACTCCAAATTAAGGCCTCCGTGGTTCCCCCTCCCCAGGACCCCCCTCAGCATCCCAATATTCCCCTGGGGAGATCCAGGGTCCCCTCAGGCACCTGATCCCACCCCAGGGGTGACCCCAGACCCTTCTTAGGGTCCCAATCCCTCCCGGGAGGGGACCCAGACCCCAAGAAGGGTCCCAATCCTTCCCAGGAGGTGACTCCAGACCCCAAGAAGGGTCCCAATCCTGCCCCACAGAGGATCCAGGACCCCTTTAGGAGCCTGATCCCACCCCGGGGGTGACCCCAGACCCCTCTTAGGGTCCCAATCCCTCCCAGGAGGGGACCCCAGACCCCAAGAAGGGTCCCAATCCTGCCCCATGGAGGATCCAGGACCCCTTTAGGAGCCCGATCCCACCCCAGGGGTGACCCCAGACCCCAAGAAGGGTCCCAATCCCTCCCAGGAGGGGACCAGACCCCAAGAAGGGTCCCAATCCTGCCCCATGGAAGATCCAGGACCTCTTTAGGAGCCCGGTCCCACCCCGGGGGTGACCCTAGACCCCAAGAAGGGTCCCAATCCCTCCCAGGAGGTGACCCCAGACCCTTCTTAGGGTCCCAATCCCTCCCAAGAGGGGACCCAGACCCCAAGAAGGGTCCCAATCCTGCCTCATGGAGGATCCAGGACCCCTTTAGGAGCCTGATCCCACCCCGGGGGTGACCCCAGACCCCAAGAAGGGTCCCGATCCTGCCCCGTGGGCAACCCCAGACCCCCCTTTAGTGCCCCCCTCACGCCCTCAGCAGCACCAGCCTGCCCGTCTGGCCCAGGTCGACGCCGAAGGCCACCAGGTTGATGCCGCTGATCACGGCCACCAGCACCGTCCTGTCCCAGGGGCAGCTCGGGGAGCAGCCGTAGGGCCGCCGCGCCCGGCCCCCCAAATCCTCGGAGAAGCCGTAGAGCGCCCAGAGCACCGTGGCCGCCCCGTAGGCCACCACCCCTAACCCCGCGTAGACCCCCAGCCCCCAGCGCAGCCCCTCGGGGTCCCGCATCCAGCCGCACCACCCCCAGCCCAGCAGGCACCCCCCGACCAGCAGCGCGCCCAGCACGAAGGACACGCAGAAGATGCCCAGGCACCAGCGCCAGGCCGTGGGGCCCGAGGCCGCGCCCAGCTCGGCCGCCAGCCCCAGCAGCAGCAGGGCCAGGAAGGCCTCGGCCACCTTGAGCAGGCCCGAGGGGGTGGCCAGGTACGGGGCGGCCTCGCCGGGCCGCGCGCGGTCGCGGGTCACCTCGGCGGCGTAGGCCAAGGTGGCCGCGGCAGAGAAGGCGGCGGCGGCGGCGCGGAGGGCGCGGGGCCGGCCCTCGCGGCTGCCATCTTGTCCCCCCCTCAGGTGGCCCAGCGGCCAGAGCACGGTGGCGGCGGCGCAGGCCAGGCCGGCGGCGCAGGCCAGGGCCAGCGGGACGTCGCGGCGGGGCGGCGGCCGGCGGAAGGCGTCGTTGGCCAGCAGCAGGAGGGTGAGGGCGAAGGACAGGGCCCAGGCCGACAGGCAGCCGTC